CTGCTTCATAGACCAGGTTTTCTGGGACAGGGCAGCATGGAGGGGGTGAGGGCCTGGGAAGCCCATTGCCTGAATATTGTGGGGTGGGGAACTGGGGTTCTGAGCAGTATGCAGTCCCCAGCCACTCAGAAATCAGACTGCCCTGGTCTAGAGGGACAACAGGGCTGCTACTCCAGTATATAGTGCTATGATCTTGAATTCTGGAGCTAAGCATGAAACATGGAAATAAAAATGTTATCTTATGGAATTTATTACGTTAGAAAGTGTGTCAAAAGGCATATGTTTGTCCTTGTGTTTGCAAAACGGACCTTTTACAGTGTTTGGCTGATGTAGTCATGTGGCTATGAAGATGGATATTTGCCAATCAACTGGAACATTAACCTACTTAACAGAGGTGTTATGATACAATTGGGTTGAGTTCTCATTAGTCTATTAATAGCAGAAACTTCACAGGTATTTCCAATTCGGTTCATCTTTTTGTTTGCTTAGGACTGCCGCCATACTGAGGAAACTTTCTTGCTTTTCACTGCAAGTAACAAGACAATGAGAGAATTATATGAATATAAACATTTAGCAAGCAATTATTATTTAAGATAGGGTTTTGAATGTAAATATCAGGTCACTTGGAAGCTGGTGTGCCAGACTGATGCCTCTGTTTTAAGCATAATTATGTAAGGCACCAAATAGGTACTTGCAGTCTTACCTTATAGTTTCATAGTTTCAGGGTCGGAAGGGACCTAATAGATCTTCTAGCCCGACCCCCCCGCCAGGGCGGGAGAACAACCGAAAAAAAAAAACAACAAAAAACACAACAATTGCTCGTAGAGCTGTGCCAGGGGCCCTGCAATAACCCCAGCTAGCTCCCTCAGCACCCTGGGGTGGAGAGCATCCGGACCCGCTGACTTGAACGCATCCAGCCCCTCCAGAAGCTCTCTAACCCGGTCCTCCCCAACCTGAGGTCTGAAGGCGATCCCCTCGCGTCCAGCTTCTATCACAGCAGGGAAGTCCTGGTCCCTGCACAAGAATTTAGTAAGAAGAGTCCATACAGTAAGGCCCGTTTCCTGTTTAGATGTCTTTAGATGTGCTTCCAAAATCCACTAGTGAAAGTTGTGCTGTTATTAGGAAGAGGAGGAATCCACCGTTTCTGTTTAGTCATGCACCATATATTTAAGGCCTTCTTAAAGTCCAGGAAGATGACATCCACCCCGACACCCTCATCCATGGACTTTGTTTCATAGTTTCATAGTTTTAGGGTCGGAAGGGACCTAATAGATCTTCTAGCCCAACCCCCCGCCAGGGCGGGAGAACAACAAAAAACCCTAAAAACAAAAACGGGACTCAAATGAGTCCAGCCAGGTAGGTATCCAGCCTCTTCTTAAAGATCCCCAGGGTAGGGGCCAGCACCACCTCCCTTGGAAGTTGGTTCCAGCTCCTAGCCGCCCTAACTGTGAAGTAGTTTTTTCGGATGTCCAATCTGTACCTCCTCTCCATCAACTTGTGCCCATTACTCCTTGTTATGCCAGCGGGGGCTAGGGGAAACAGCGTCTCCCCCAAACCCTTCTGGTTCCCCCTAGTGAGTTTATAGACGGTCACCAGGTCCCCCCTCAGCCTTCTCTTGTGGAGGCTGAATAGGTTCAGGTCCCGCAGTCTCTCACTGTAGGGTCTGCCCTGTTGTCCCCGGATCATGCGGGTGGCCCTCCTCTGGACCCTCTCCATGTTGTCCACATCCCTCCTGAAATGGGGCGCACAGAACTGGACACAATATTCTAGCTGCGGCCTGACCAGCGTCGCATAGAGGGGGAGGATCACCTCCCTGGCTCTACTCGAGATGCACCTGTGGATGCACGACAAGGTCCTGTTAGCCCTGCCAACCATGACCTCGCATTGTCGGCCCATGTTCATCTTGGAGTCAATAATGACACCAAGATCCCTTTCCGCCTCCGTGCTCTCAAGTAGGGAGTTCCCCATCGTATAAGTGTGCTGCTGGTTCCTACTACCCAAGTGCAGCACCCTGCACTTGTCTGTATTGAAACGCATCCTGTTCCTGTTTGCCCACCCCTGTAACCTATCCAGATCCTTCTGCAATCTCTCTCTCCCTGCTAGCGTGCTCACCTCCCCCCAAATTTTGGTGTCATCAGCGAATTTAAACAGGTTGCTTTCCACCCCAACATCAAGATCGCTGATCACCTTCCATTGTGTATTTCTTTTCTGTTTTGTTTAACAAAAAAAATGCTCTAAAATGTGAAGAGCCAATATGACTAATTGCTACCTTAAAGGAGCAACTAATGTTCATAAACTACTTTCAGGTTTCCTGATGGAAGTTTCTATACAAGACTGAAATATATTTTTGTACTATTATTTCTGACACTTTAGCCAATATCTAAAAACTGTGCTTGGGCTTCTGTAACATTGCCTGCAAAAACCTTAACTGGATATAGTATGTTGACTCATACACCCTACACATGCTGGGCCTCGTCTTTACACTGATGTAATTCCATTGGTTTTAATAGCATTACCTCTTATTTACATTAGCCAACGTCTTGCTACAGCATGTTTGAATACAGGTTTGCAAATCTCTAAGCTACTTCTTGAAAAATAAATTACAAAAGAATTTGTATAGCTCCTGTTACAAATAAATATTTCTCTTGGGTTAAGAGACATTTCTGATGCATGTAAACTGAAGCAGAGGTGATATTTCTTGTGAGTGAGTGTTTTTCATTGCCTTTCAGATCTAAAGGAGCAATCCTGAATATCTCCTCAGCTAGTGGCATGTTTCCAACTCCTCTGCTTACTCTCTACTCTGGAACAAAGGTAAACTTCCGTTCCATGTACCCCAACAAGGAATGTAAAATAAACTAAATAATATGAGCTACAGAAATAATGGTACCTGCATAATGCTGCTTTGATTGAACTAAAAGTAGTGGGCACTGAACTTTTTAAATTTTGCAATTAGGAAATAAGTAAGTAGAAAGTAAGTAATTTTTTTTTGCCATTGTGGCAGTCTGTTTTGTGAGTTTTGAATGTACCATCTTCATTTTTAAAAAAAAAGAGGACATGCACACACAAAGCAAAGCTGCTGTTATGTGGACTCAGGGCACAAAACAGGTGTGTGAAAAATTTGTATATGAAAACCATCACTTTTCTCCCTTTGATATTACAAAACTTCATATTTTAAAAAGAACTCTGCTTCTACAGCTGCCACAAATATGTCATTTAAGATCAAAAGAGAGGAGGAGAGCTGTGCTGTAATGGCATTCTTTACTTGAAATGTCTGAGAATTTTAAAATTATTAAATTTAAAAAGGAAAAGGTGTGAGCATGTTTTAATTACTGGGTAGCACTTGAGATTGTTATCTAAACCTGTTGCAAATTAATGTTCGAAGAGAAAGTATAGCATGAAATCAGATTTCCCCCATCTTCTTCCTCCCCCCACATTCTTACCTGCACATGATAGAGAAAAAGTTGGGATGCACAAAGTTGATTTAAAGCTGCCTTTCTCATACTGTTTCTCATTGGAGCTTGGGGTTGTTCTAAACTAAGATCTTCCCACTGCTGCTGTAATTTGTCCTGACTTGTCATCTGAGGGCCAGTAGTCTAGCAGAGAATAACTGTAGTGAACTGTCTGGCCTGTTTTCCTTCTGCCCCATTCATACGCTGCCATCAGCAAGTGGGCCAGCCCAGAGGTATTTCTTTATGATGCTGTAAAGACAAGCTTTATAATTGTGATTCTATGGTGGTGGAAGTAGGGAGCGTTCCCCATCTTCACCACCTCTTTCTGCTATTTTAGTGTGGCAAGATACAGCTGAAGTACAGGGTGGAGGTACTGACCCATGAGTTGTATGTAACTATTACAACTACATATCCTCCTCTGAACCCTAAATTCACAGTTTTTAAAGCGCCTCATTTGCAGATTGTGAATATATGAGCTTGGATATAATCAGGTTTGAATACTTCATCATTGACAAAACAGTGTTCTGATCTTTGTTAAAATTGCATAATCTTTGTCCGTCTGTCTCATCCGGCAGCGGAACCACCGTGTACTGTTCTGTGAAGGCAATCCTGTGCATTACATCTTCACCTTGCAAAAGCCCTGGGCCTACCAAGTGCAAAGGGTCAGTGTATCATCTCTTCATGTAGAGTTCTTGATGAAATGGCTGCAGATCTCAGTCATCCATGGAAATTATGAGAGTTCTGTTTTAGAGAGAAGTCCTGCTGCTTGAGCAACAGTTGTGTGAGAAGGAAGGTACAAACCTCTTTCTTCCTGATAGCCATTAGTGAGTCTCTGTGCAAACAAACCACCAATGTAGTTAACTACTTAGAAGAATGTTTATCACTTCATGTTGATTTGAGTACTGTTGCATAGCTTTTCCAGCATCTTCCATAGTAAACTATTGGCTTTCTAGCACATCCTGATTTCACTGTTCTAGCTAGTTGTTTTTTTGAAAGTGATATAAAACACACAGAAGTTACTGCTCATTTAGTCAGTATGTTTACAGACTTGCAAATGCTGTAATTTCAGAAAGATTTCACTGCATTTGTAATGTTGACTTTTCTAAAGATACCATCTGTGCAGGATTCCCAGACTTGGGTCTTCTCCTGACAAAAAAAAGCTCCCAGAGCCATGAAGATTTTTGTAGTCCTACAAGTAGTGGTAGCTAGTAGATTCACCAGTAAAGCCCACTTCCCTCAGCTGGTAGTTGTGAACAACCACTGGGTGTGATGGTTAGCTTTGGAACCTTTCTTTGGTTTCCTCTTTGAATTGCAGCCAGCAAGATGTTTCTTACAGGAATTGTCAAGTTACTGCTCTGAATCTACTTGTCCTATAGATTCTGTTCTAATTCTGCTCTCCAGTTCAGCTTGCTACCTACAGCAAACTCCCTACCCATCGCTTTGGAGGGATTCGTCCAACAAGGTATTTCTTCAACAGTAAGTTTCCTCTACTCCAGAGGAAGTCTCAGCCACGTTTCCTGCCTGATTCTTTTCTCCTCCCATGATCAAGGACATTCTTGCACACCTTCCTGCCCACACCTCCTATAATCTGCTAGGCAAGGCATGTTTTTTCCACTCTGCATACAAGAATTTCATCTGTGGTATTCTGGAATGTTAGGCTGATGGCAACAGCTAATTATGTATGGCAGGAAAGATACTGTCTGCCTCTGTCCATTCTCACCTATGAAGAAGTCAGCATTTATACAGTGAAACATTCCTTAAAAGAAAACCTCGCCTACTTCATAATGCTGTTTTGGACAGATTTGCCTTCCCTTTCCTCAGGTAATTTCATTGACTAATGACATGTGAATGAAGTTACTGTCATTAATTTCTTTTTTGTAGGCACTGTATTTACTTTATAATGAGGATGGAGGGAGGAGAAAATTATGGTTCCTGCAATTCAGGCTTATTTGGAATGATATTGTTTATTATTAAAATTTACTTTATTTTTTTTTTAAGCTTCTTGGAAGGGTGGGGGCTGAGTGCTAAAAAAAAAGATTTTTTTTAAGAAAGCAGTCTTGTGTAGCAGTATGTTGTGTGAAACAACTTTAGTTTTAGAAAATACATATTTAAAGTTCATTTGAACTGTGTAAATTGCTACATTTCTGCCTTTGGAAGCCATTTGAAATGAGCTCCCTCTTTGTTTGCTCCCTCCTTTCAATAAAAGTATCTGGTAGTTCCTTTTACATCTTGTTTGAAAAATACTTGCAGGACTCTTGTCACCTAGAGACTTTCAGGTCTTTTCTCAACTGAGCACTTTGGTAATTAAAAGAATTTTGCAAGTATTCAACTTGTATAAGATTAATGTAGTAGATCTAATTTTACCTTCTTGAATGTTTAGGTGCACAGCTGCATCATAATGTGTTGAACAGGTTACTGCATATGCAAATCTGGCAATTGAACATGCAAATTCTACCATGAGCTACATGGAAATTACGTACAACTGCATACTTGTGTGCAAAGAGTGCGTGTAACATACCATAATTTGTGTGTGCATATGACTTTAAAAGATCTGGTTGTATCTTTATTATTTACCACCTGGGTGCATTTTTCCCTAGGAAAATTAGTGTAATATCTGCACCAGGGATTAAACTAAATAGTCTAGGATGCCTCTTGTTTACCTTTTAACTAACTTTAATTTTATACATGTGAAGGTGCAGTATATAGGGGCTCTTCTGCCATGCAGTGAAATCTAGTTTTCTTTCATATCTCACTTTTATGCTCAGGTAGGTTATGTGAAGAAATAAATGCATTAATGTGGACATATCCTTCTTTATATTATTAAGGACTGGGTTCAGCAAGATTAACACCTAATAGAAATAAGCAGAGATGCTACAATTTTAACAAGGCACTGGTTATAATCAAGATTTTGATTAATGAAGTAATGATGTGGTCAGTAAAGGAAAAATGGAAAAACAGGTGCAATACTTGAGCTTGACTGTGGCTGTATTGACGCAGTTCTGACGCAGCTGCTCCTGTCTCTTTAAATAACATCTTTTTCTCTCTAGAGCTAATATTTTTTTCTTGAATAATTGAAGTTAAAATAAATGGTAAATAATTAAACTCTGGATAGAATAACTTGGTTCTTGCAGTGGATGGCACATGATCTGTCCAATTGTGTTCTACAGCTTGGGTATTGCAAGTCAGGATACTTGATTCTGACAACTTCTATGTCTCATTTGACTGGGAAAAATTGAAATATGGTTTTGGAAACCGTAGGGTCATATAAAACCTTGAGTTTGTGAGTAACCTTGGCTATCACAACACTGAGAATGTATTGAATTAAGTGATGTGTTTGGTAGTGAGTGTAATGGAATGAAAAAAAGAACATTTAGGCAGCTTACAGGTGTTACATTTCTACTAGGGGAATCGCCACTTTCCTAATAGAAATGATATGTGTACAAAGCATGTACATGGGGTCATTCAGTTTCTCGCAGGGGAAACATGCCCCTTCCTGGAGAAAGAGATCTTTCAATCTGGAAGATTTCTCTTGCAAGAGGAACTTTCTAACAAGAATGAACACCTGTATACTCTCCCACTTGGTCTGGGAGGGGAGCAGCGAGGCAGTATACTCCTTCTCTTCCCCTGCCAATGAATGCCTTGTTTGGGAATCTAGTTGGGGGCTTTTCCCTGCTGCTCCCCTCCCAGGTTGGTCCAGGAGGGGAGACTGGAGTACCAGGGGCAAAACACCCTTCCCACTTCCTGGACTGGGGAGTTTGCCCTTGCTATTCTCTCTGTAGGTGGCATTTAAAGCCTGCAGGTCAGGAACTGTGGCAGAGAGACCTCTCCTCACTGTGGTTTTGAAAGTGTTGCCTGTGCTGCCCAGCCAGTAGAAATAAAGGCCAGTCCATGGCCCTAGTGACTGGTTATTTCCTGTATTCAGCCATGAGTTAGTTTTGAAGACCCATATCATTTTGCTTCCTGTGGCTTCTTTTTCTTCTTCACTTAATTTCCTAAGCCTCCAGCTAAAGGAAAATTGCTTGTAGCTTCTCTCAAAGCCAGTGGATCCTGTAAATTTAAGGTGGTGGTTCTGTGGAAGTGGAATTGTGCAAAATATGAACTATTAAATGACTTAGTGTTTTATTACACAGAGTTAGAAGCTACTTATTTAAATGGGGAAGTAGGGCACCCAGTTAGTACTCCTAATCAAATTGGCATTTATTGGGAAGCCATTTTGCTGGAGCAGCACTTTACTTTATAGGGATTTTAAGCCCTCTAAAACAGATCTGCAACTGGGCTTGAACCTCTAAAATGTTCCATCAGGTTGTATTTTGTTTTAGATCAGGGATGAATTTGGTCACATATCAAGCCTTATTTGATTAATGAACTTGGAAAGCACATACATCCTAATGAAATCTAGCAGTTTTGCTGTTATCTACAACCTTGATTTGAAAACCAGTTTTAGCTTTTTAAAAATTACCAATACATAAATAGAAACTCAAAAGAAAGTCCTACACTAACTACAAATTACAGTTGCCATTTTGTCATGCACTTTGTATTTCCACCCTCTTCCCTGTAGGCTTTTGTGGATTTCTTCTCTCAAGGCCTCCATGCGGAGTACAAGAGCAAGGGCATTATTGTGCAGGTGAGTGGAGTTTGTTTCATTTAAGTATCCCCATTGTTGCTTGGGTAACCACACAACAATTGCTGTCCTGGCAACCAGGCAAAATCATCCCATTCACTCGCTCATAAATCTGACAATTACAGATTAAAGATACGGGTTCCCTGTTGTTTGCCCCTGTTAGTAGTTTTCTGAATTTTCTATGAAATTAAGTCGGTTCCTTAAAATGACAATTAAAAAAGAGCTATAGGTATGATCACTTCCATTTTACTTGAGAGCACCTACTAGGGTTTCAAGTAGGAGATACTCCCTAAAATTGTATGTAGTCCGCCACATCAGTACAGCAGTGCTTAATCTCCTGGCATGTTTTTGTGCCATCTAGATGCAGAAATTCAACAGGTAATCACATTTAAGTCTAGAATGCAGGGCGTAAATGTCCTTCAATTTAACATTGGTTATTACTGATGCTTTCAACTAGAAAAAGTGTTAGTAAAAGTCAGATCCCTGCAGCTAGAAGTGATGCCCCACAGTGAAGGCATAGTGAAAAGAGCAGCTTTGCATAGGAGGAAATAAGTTCATTTGTAGTATCAGATTTCAAGTTGAAATTGGTATTACCTCATGTACTAGTCTTTAATCTTTCTCCACTCGTTTATATACAGTAATTTCGCTGTGTTTGGAGAAAACCAATTATCTGGCTACAAATTAAGACAATTTATGGCTTAAGAACTCTGAATCAAGCAAAGTGAAGCTGGCTTGGTTTAGATGTCCTTTGGAATTTGCTTTGCATTTCAGAGCTGCTTGAAACTTGATTGAAATTACCAGACTTTGTCAGACTGGTCAGGAAATCCTGGTTATGGATTTCTCATTGCAGAGCATAAATCACTTGGTGATTAGGCTTGGTGAAACTTTTCCTACATCTGCAGTACAAATAAAGACATGTTTTCTGTAATCAGCTTGGGATCTGGTTACAAACATTGTTAGCTTGTATGTATCGCTCTACTGCCCACATTTTTGCATCTTGTTTCAAGTTACGGAACAACCATGTGAAATCCCGCCTCTGGCAATTTTAAGGCAGTGAGGTACCAAGATAAAGTACATGCACACAGATTGGTTAAAGCCAACTCTATCATTAGTCTGGATTTTGGGGGGTGATATATTTTATTGGACCAACTGCATGGTTAGGATAAAGTTAGACAAGGTCCTCAAGTGACCTGAGGAAGAATGCATTGCATTCAGAAGCTTGTCTGACTTTATCCTGACCATGCGATTGGTCCAATAAAAGTTATCACCCCCCCCAAAATCCTTGCCTGTCATGTAATTCCCAGACCATTACAGCTACAACATCACTCTAACACTACAATAACTGGTTTAACACTGACATATATTATGGGGATGTGGCCGTGGGCAAATAACTTGTTTGCTCTTTGCAGGTTTTCCTTGTTCAGAGCATACCCAGACTTATTGTTTAGAGTACCTTTTGTCTTGGCTTCTCAGCATCAATTTTGTGTAGAGAGTGCTGGAGGAAAGGGAACCAACTAAATCATGTAGTTCCATACCAGTAGTGTCCCTCCAGTGGCTTCCTTGTTTGAACCTACACAAAACATTTTATTAAAATTTCCCTCTGTTGCTAGCATTGGTTCAGTTTCACTAGTGATAACAAGATGAAAAGTCTAAAGCAGACAAGACAATGATGGTTGACAAGGTCCCAAATCCTGGTGCGCACACCTTCTCAGAGAAAAACTAATTGACTCTTGAGGAAAATGCAGCCAGTGTAAGGTTATGGACAGACCTGACTTCTAATTGCTTGAAAAGGGGAGGAAGAGTTATATCTACTGTTCTGATGCAACTTACATCTTCATACTTTTGGAATAGCAAAAGGAGGCTAAATAGGTGTAACTGAATCCCTATTTTATTCAGTTTGTTGCCGCACTTTTGGTATGCTTGTCACCTTTAGGAGTGTGCAGATGAAACAGTTGCATCAGAACAGGGTCTACCAGATCATTTGATAATGATCTTGTCTGCACATACTTTACTGGGTTCATGCTGGCATGAAGCTATCAATACTAGGTAGGCCCAGAAGTGCAGCTCATAAAACTTTCCATCACTAGATTTAGATAATACAGTATACAAAAATTCTCAGCTTTCCTCAAATAAGATGCCCCTGATTTTTAAGATGATCCCCCAGTAATTAGATTCCATATATGGAAAGTTAATATTTTTAAATATTTCTTTCAGATATAGAATCTAATTATTGGGGGTTTGCCTTAAACTTCTCCTCCTCCCACTGCTACAGCAGGGAAAATGAATCTGGGAGGAAGGGGTTCAGGTAGCCCTTTGCTCTCTGGTTCTCCCCAACTTTTTCCCCTGGTACGTCCTTCTTCCTCTCTCTACTGTCAGACCATGCTCTCCCTTAGCATTTGGAAGTGAGGAGCAAATTTAAAAACAATAACCTTGAAATTAAACATGGCTGTAGCAATTTGCATATAGCACCCATAGACTTAGTTCATCCAGAATTGTTGCATGTTGCCTTTTTTGAAGCTGCTGCAAGTTTTAAGTGTTCGTACATACAGTTTTGAGCAGAACTTTGGCACCTACTTATATGTAGTATAAACTCTACATGGTATTAGTCCAAAGCTAAAAGGCTCATGATTTACTACATAGATCACTGGGTTGTGCCCCACCAGAGTCAACACAATTTCAAGCCATAGTGAGCCATGACATTGCATACAATTCACTGCGAATCCCTCTGTTGCACTTTCAGCCTGGCACGTATAATTATTACCCTACCCTCCATGGTGACCCCACAGCTCAGCACTGATCAGTATGTGTATATGTTCCAGATACCTCCCACAAAGGATTAGCACAAAGGTGCAAATTAGCCCCTACTTTTGGCTGGAACTGGGTGTTCTTGTCAAGTCCTGGGATGCTTCAAAAATTTATGATCAGATGAGGTACAGGGCACCCTAGTCTGGTTTAGCATCATGGAGGGCAGGGCCACTCTAATCATGTGTGACAGATTGAGAAGGCATGACAGAAGGATTTTGGGTGAATTGTCTGCAATGTCGTGGCTCACCATGACTTGAAATAGTCTTGGCGATGATGGGGATTGCACTTAATGAGCACTAACGTATGTCTTATTCAGATGGGTTACACTAACCTATCCTTGTGGTAGGTTCCCATCAGTATGTTTGCTCAGTGTGGGCCATGTGTTTTACAGTCTACATTTAAACCACTTCATAGTTGGTTTCCATTGCTGAACACATGCTGCTTTTGGCAGCAATTTAGTGATAGACGGTGTGTTCACTATGATTCCCTTGTATGCAATTATAAGATAAGGTGGCTTTTTTTCCTCATACCAACTGAGGGAAAATATCTCATCTTGTATTCGAGTAAATATGGTATATAAATTCTGTTCCTATAATGTAAGTTTGCCTTTTGTCATGCTACCTACCAGTATGTGTTCCTAGTAGATCCTGATATCTCAGCCCACTGGGATAGTAAATCATGGTAACCTGGCTTCTTACCCTTACTATCATGCTGGCTGCAGAAGCTCAGTTGCTGATAGCATCAGTCTTGGTCCCTACAGTTTTAAATGAATAGCCATTCAGAGTTACATTGGCCTGAAGATAAGATAGTCACCAGCCTTACAGTTTATGGTCAGAATCTCTTATGCTAATTTTATTTAACTACATGGGCATGTTATCACCTGAGCTTGTATAAACTTTTAAAGAATATTACAGGGGTATCTCTATAGAAAAGACTAATTTACATATCCTCTCCATGCCCTTTAAGAAGGCTTCATCCTCTTTATTTAAAACGAGGTTCATCTCTACAGCCTTCAGTAGGCAAATAGACTTTGCATTTCCAATTGAGGTAGTATGTGAAATGGCATATTCCAGTTTATACCATACCAGTGCCCAGAGAGAATACTGTGTGAAAAGCAGAAACACAGGACAGCTTGTTAAAATTCTATGTCTGAATCTCTGTTTAAGTTATATCCATTCTGCCTGAGTGGAAACACCTTCTCTTTGGAAGTTAGTTTTGATCAGTATGGTTTTTTGTAATGCAGAGACACCTCCTCTCCAGCTACATAAGCCATTTCCACCCTTCAAAAAAAAAAAAAAAAGTAGAGAAACACAGCTGCTGAGTCAAGTGTCCCTGTTCATGTATGGAGAAAGGAAGGAAAATCTAGAGCAGAAAATAGTAGCTAAGCTTGAAAGGAATGGGGAAGAATCTGAGGATTGCTGTCAAGATTACCTTGAAAGACCTCCTGTTAATGGGGATACTAAGGTGCTCTGTCTGCCAAAACACTGTTCTTTATGGGCTATATAGTTTGAAGGACTCAATGGATTCCTTTCCCTTTCATTATGTTCTTATTTTCTGCTTCAGAGTGCTAGATGGAGAACAGTTTTCTATATGAGATATCCCTAACGCTTTTTGCCTAATAATTATTAATGAACCTAAATCCGAGGTAGGAAAAGTCTTGCTGTATTTAGCTTTTTAGAATGTCTCTACTACAATCTCTAGTGCAGTGGCATAGTACCAGATTTATTTCACATATTTGCCTTGTTTCAAGGAATATGTGAAATTTTGTTCTGTCACTGCTGCTTTTATCAGTTTTCACTTTCGGTACATTAATCAGGTGTTTTTTGTTGTAGTTGTTGTTATTTGTAATAGTAGCCTGAGACTGTTCATTTCTTAAATGGAATGGTGGCACCAGAAGAGCTGAAGGCAGCTCCTTCTTGAGAATCATCTGCATAAAAAACTTTGCTGAAACTTGTCTTCTCCCTTATAAAAAGGAATTGTGGTCTTCAGGCTGGAGCATGAAACAGGGCCTTGAAATGTTTAGGTCTTTCAGTGACTTGTTTGTAATCAGTCTCTGTGCAGACTTTCCTAGTCTGGGCAATGTCACTTTTGTACTCGGTCTCAGCAGGCTTTGTTCACAGCTAATCTTTCTTTGCTTACCACCTTTTAATCTCTTGATTCCAGTTTAATTAGACATGATTCTCTAATAGTTTGGGGTGGGGGTTCTGCATGCAATAAACATTTGGAAAAAATAACAGCTTTTAGAAAGTATATTGGAGCATTAGGCCAAACAAAAGATCACACATTTGGAAGATGGTAAAGCTAATATTTATTAAATCAAATATGCCCTTCTCTTTTTTTTGAGAGAGAAAGTAGGGGATAAAATGGTGTTGTACAATCATAAAATTTTTAACTGCTTTGAAATTCGTGCATTAGTGGCTGTAATATTCTCTGTACTAGTAACACTAACAGTCATGCCTCTTCTAAATCCAGTGTCTCTCTGTAAACCAAAGATTATCCTTTGGCACCATCCAGTGGTGCAGTTAGGTAGGGCAGTTTGTGTTTTGTGTTCTGTTACGGGAAGGTGAGGAGAGGTCAGATTTGAGACTTGTTTTCTGTTTATAAAAATCATTTTTGGTCCCTTGTAAAATCATATCTATTTCAAATGCTTGTGATTTGTGTATGGTTAGCAGTGAATATTTTGCTCAGATTTTTCAGCAGGGGGCTCAAAGAGGTATTTGTCATGTCTGTGTTAAGTAGCACTTGTTAATTCTTGTTTCAAATAGCTTGTCTTCAAGTTCATCTATCAATATTTACAGTTTTCAGATGGAAAAGGGTTATTGGAAAAATTTTGGGGTGAACAAAGAATATTCAAATAGGCATCAAGCTACAGCAATGTTTAAAAGGCACCAAGTGACAGGCAAATGGTTAAAAGAATAAATATTAAATCCAAGATGTTTGAACTTGGCTGCCTAAAAATTAGACCCCTAGGGTTGCTCAAATACCTGCTCAGAACTTGCAGCCTGAGAGACCTGTAGATATTTCCGCTTCCAAAAGTCAAGTCACTTTTACTTAGATATTTTTTATCCACATTTGAAGATTTGTGTGCCAAGTCTTTTTTTTTAAACCCTTTTATTTGCAAGTAGAGCTTTGAAAGTATAAACAGATTTGCAGGGAAGCTTGTCATTGGAATTTAAAGAGTGCACAAACTCACCTACCCAACCTACTTTAGCCCCACTTCCCAATGGGGCTCTTTCACTTCTTCCTTCTTACCCCCGGCCCCCCGCAGTTCCTTGACAAAGGGGAGAAGAATATAGTGGAGGCATGAACTGTAACTTAAGTGCGCTTATTGCGTGGTGTGACGATACATAGCAACCAACAGTACTTTTGAGTGGGAAATGGACTGCTTTCTGCACTTAAAGCCACAAGGAATTTTAGAAAGGCAGAATTATATTTGCAAAATAGGAATTTGGTGATGACACTAGAACTAGTCCTGTTCTCACTAATGGAATTTTGAGCACATGTACAAGAATGCTATTGCCATCCTCCACGAGAGGCTTGGGCATCATCGTATTTCCTAGTGTCATGTCAGTATTGGCTTGTTTGCAGTTCTGTCTGCTGACCCACCAGTATCATCACTCCAGCATTTGGACTATCCCAGGAAGTAATGTGTTCAAGAGCTGACAAGTGCTTATTTTGTGAGATGTTATGTCCTAGGTCTGGTTTTATGGCCATCTGCTGTTAATTCTCTCAGCACTACAATTTGCATTGTTAACATTCTAGTCAACAGCCAGTAACGCTTTCAAGTCAAGGGCTAGAACAACCCAGTTCTGGTCTGATGTGGGCTGGGTGGCTTCTGTGACATGCTAGCCCCTGGGGGCTTTCCCTGCACTTGTGCCAGTGCCAGGCAGCTGGGAGCTATGTCCATGCTGTGCTGCTTCTCCCAGCCCCCTGGCTGGAATGTAGGCACAGCTTCCACCTGTTAAAGAAGCTGCACCAGGGCCAGGAACCTGGAAGCTGCATCTGTACTGCTGCCACTTTTTTGTGCCAGAGCTGGGAGGTTGGGGTAGGGAAAAGCAGCAGCAGCTTCTTTCTGCCTGGTCCAGCACAGGTTTCTGTTGGCTGGAAACTGCACTCATGCTGCAGCCAGGGAGAGGGTAGGGGAAGATGGAAGAAGCAATGGTATCAAGGGCACAGCTTGAAATTGCCTGGCTCCAGCACATCTCCTTGCTGCTTGGTGCTGGTGCAGGTGTGGATGGCGGCAAAGCCTATGTGGTTTCATGGGCTGGATCCTGCCAACAAGCCATAGGTTGTTAATCCCTGTTCTAGATTGTAATACTGCCAGTATTTGATCTGATTATTTTCTTTAGACTTAATTTAAGGTCACGTTTAGAATCTAGTACAAGTAGCACATGTGACCTAATGTACAGTACAAAATGTGTTTCTTACTATAGTGAATAAATATATACACACACAGCCTTTCTGAAAATAGACTTTGTTTACTGTGGTCTTTTTCTTGCTTACAGAGTGTTTTACCATATTATGTGGCTACAAAAATGGCCAGAATCCGCAAGCCAACCTTTGATAAACCCAGTCCTGAAACGTATGTAAAAGCTGCCCTTGGCACAGTAGGCCTGCAGTCCCGGACCAATGGGTGTCTACCCCATGCTATAATGGTAAGTTGAACTTGAAAGGGTAAGGACATTTCCTGTATGCAGTCTGTGTACGTTCTGCATGCATTTTGGGACCAGGGAGCCAAAAAGGAATGGTGAATTGCATTACTTTCAAAATTGGTACCTGATTTCTCAGATCTCTTGGTCCTCTTTTTTATGATAATTGACTCTATGGCAGGAACAGTGTTGATGGATCTTGGTGCAGGTATAACAGATTGAGTTTTTTCTCTCCGTTTCTTAGGGCTGGTTCATGTCTCTTTTCCCTACCTCAACTGTTGTAAACTTCACAATGAGCCGCAACAAGCAAGTGCGGGCTCGTTTCTTGAAGAAAGCGAAAGCAAACTAAGTTGTTGGAATGGGATCAGATGTTGCGATACCTTCTGTCTCAATACCCGTGTATTACACCAAAAAATTTAATTGTATTTAAAATTTTCTAGTGTAGTTCATATTTTCTGACAGGACCAAGCATAATCTTTGACTGGGATTAGAGGTGGAAGATGATTTCTGGACTTGACTATGCTTGGTTTGTTAGTCATGTGCAAGTATTGAATATTAACCAGATATAGTATATTACATGAAGCTAGTTAGTTACACTAGTGGATGCAGAATTGTCAGAAGCCTGGTGATAGAGGGAAAAAGTACTACCTGGTCACTTAAATGGTTAGAGTCAAATGGCTGGTACTTAATAATAAAATAATGAAGTTGATTGGCATTCACTTTTAAGTTTTTCACTCCGGGACCAGTCAGTTACATGAAGTCCACCTGTTCTCTAAGTTAGGTATGCGTGGGTGGAAGGAAGAATTGCAGATGTCTGTCTTTCAGCTATACTGCTGTGATATAAGCTTTACTTAAAAACAAAAAACCTAGACAAAACCTTTGTTCACTGATGTAGCTAATACTCGGTTCAAATTCAGAACTCTCCCTCAGAGTCTGTGTAGCCAGTCTGTGATGTCTCCCCCATATTTTATTTAATGAGTTGAATGTGTACTAGAATACCTGGGGGGAGGAGTTTTTAACGGTCTCGGGTTGTACTTGTGTGGCTCCTATGTCAGTCTCCAATAAAAACAGTTTCTGCGTTAGTCTGTCCATTTTTTAAATTGGCTCAGTTAAGAGGGACCATACACTTTAGTATGTTGGCTTTAAATCCTGTAACTCCACTGTCTTCATCTGCAGTACTGAAATGTATTCATGTGTCAACACTTGGGTGTTTTTATAGAATGTAAATTGAGGGATCTGCTATGATCTGATTTATAAAATGGAGGAAAATGGGCCAAAATGCAAAATGAGTGATTTGCTCTAACATATTCTAACATGCTAACTACAGCAATTGTTTAAATTTTTGACTATTAATGCTAACTTTTCAGTGTGTAAAATATATATATATATATATATATAAAATATGATTTGTAATGATCTTGTTAGAAGTTTGGTGCCTGCTGTTACTTGTAGAAAATTGCAAACACAATGTAGATAAATGCTACCAGTTACCCGCTGGTTGTCTTGTAAAGACTGTTGGTACTTTAAATGAAAGCTTGAAATTACATTTTGTTGGGGTGGTGGTTAAATTCTTTCTGGCACATGCATCAGTGTCTTGCTGTGGACCAGGTGAAATGAAGCTAAATATCTATCAGCAAGTCCTAAGAATTACATAAATTAAGATAATAGACAATATTCACTCGCATAATAGCTGTGCTTTTTTCTGAAACGTTGCCACCAGAAACTGAGGTGCAGCCAGCAGAAAACTGAGGACGCATTGAGGGTAAACAAAAGTTGTAATTCTGTATTTGAATGTCCCTCCAAAATTGCCCATCCTTCATGATCTTACAGACTAAACTGAATGTGGACCATAATTAATGCACGGTGTTGTATGGCTTTCCCAGATGGAGACATTCCAAATCATGCCTTTCAAGGTAAATTTCTTTTGAATGTGTTTCTGTTGCTTTAGAAATTACGGTGTGGCCACAGCATGGAGAATATATGTTGGGTTTTTTTTTATTTGAGGCAATGTTCAAGGATGTGACCATCACATCAGTATGACTGATTAAGGAAGTAAATACAGTACATGTTTCTTTGATCTATTATTTTTCTACTTTTAGAGTGCCCTAAAGATTTATTTCCAGGCTGAAGCAGTCACTGTTTTTTTACAGGTTATTTTTACGCTACTAAAATATTACATAAGGGTTATGGGTTATGGGTTTCGTGGTTTAAAAAAAAAAATTCCCAGGCATGGGATGAATTTTGATGGCCTACATGAAATACATTTTAATGGCATCCACAGTACAAAAGCCATAACCTTGTTTGATGGTTTTAGGCCAGAACTGACTGGTCCACTGAGATTGAAAAGCTCTTATCCTGTGAGTGGGGGAATGTTGTTCAGGGAGTGTAAGAGAAACCTCCACTGTCCCTGCCTATATATTTAACTGTTCTTTGTATTTAAAAAAAAAAAAAAAAAGTCTTCGCTGACATCAAGCACACTTTACCAGCAGTAAATGTACTATTAAAGAAAGAAAATTTACATTGGCGATGATTTCACAATTTTTAGCAGTGATAGAGACACTGATCTAGAGCTGTTTTACTGCCCTTAGGAGAGTAATTTCAAGCCCTGGTTTAAAGTTGAAATATGTTGCATTGAAACATGATGAGGCTAACGATTCTGTACATTGAAAATATACGAATACCGATGCAATGGTGCTGATAAGATATGAGGTGAGGATCCTATCCTATAGTTTGCTTATTTTCTGGAGTGGGGGTGATTGAATGCGAGTGGAATTAAGCTGCATAAAAACACTGTTCCTTGATTTTCTTTGGCAAAGCTGTGGGGGGTATTTGACTTAACCAGTCTGTGTATGTCCTTTTTCTAACACGGGTGTAAAATTGGAATAATTGAAATAAACTTATTTGCCCAGAATTTTTAACTCTTTCCTTTTTTTTAATGCATTTTATTCCTTTATTATTCAGATGATTGGCATATATAGTTTACAGTTCAGTGCAACATAACATTTCCCTTGAACGTTATTGTACTTTATACTCTGCTCTCTCGCATAAAAAACCTCCTCAATGACTCGTGGCTTCCTGGTTGCCCAGATCTTCCTTGGATCATTAATATTATTTTGTGACTGTTTACATATAAAATAAATGATTTAAAGGAAAATCATGTGCTTTGAGGAAGGCATTACTTAATGTTGTGACTGAAGTAACAACTATGCTGTAAATTAATAATTTGAAGAAAGTTCTTTAATTCAAACAATTTGCTCTATTTTTCTTTTGTAGAGCACTCGCATACTCATCGACATTTAGCACAGAATTACAACCCAGGATTAGTTGTGTTAGATTCTCAACGCTCCTTATCCTCTGCCCCCAGTCACATAGTTGTCATCACTTCCTGTCCCAAACTTGAATTTGCAGTTGAAAAGGTAGTGCATTTCAGTAGCTGATGTGTGTATGTGAGGTTGGAGAGAGAATCATCTACAAAATGACAGGCTTCTTGCCTGTGCAATGTGAGCAGAGGGTTAATAACATTTAGCAAAATGAGTCTAAATTTGCTGTCTCCCAGCCATCCTATATTGTATAATCAGTGCGAACTGACACTTGTCTGACTACCTTAATTTAGGAGTGATAGTAGTTCTATCTGGCTGATTTACTGCAGAAGCCTACAGGTAGTGCTCTTAGCAGAGAGAAATGGCATCTTAGGCCCTGAGGCTAGGAGCTTGAGCAGGGTTGTGCTGTTTCCTGAAAGCAAGTTGGTTGGAAATCTAAAATATTAAGGTTCTTGTTGAATTCCTAAAACATTTACTAAACTGTCCTTAAATGTTTCCAAAGGCTGAAGAACCCAGGACTAGTGGGCCTTGTGCCTTATCAAATAATACAGAGGTTGGAAGGTTGGATACCTTTCTCAGCAAAGGAGTTTGTTCTGTAAATCATCAGATTTTGGGCAGATAAACGACGCATTTTTAGGTTTTTTTGGTGCTTTTTAGCAGTTAAAGCATCAAGGTTAGAAAGAGGGAAATGTTAGTAAGACATACTACCTGCATCTACACTGAAGGAGGGCATCATAATCTTGCATCACTTATGTATGCATGTTAATTGTATTAAACATCTTGGAGGAAACACGGCCCCAGCAAGTGGGCACATTCCCCAAACACTGAATCCAAAAAGTTTTAAAGATCAGCTTTTTCTTGGCGTGAAATCAGTCAGACTGAACCTGAAGGAAGCAGTCTCCTGCAGTAGTTGAACCTGGCTAGGTAAGCTTGGGGTAAAAAGCTGGGGATTCTGCTGGCCACTCATCCACTTCTTTGTTATCCTATCAGTTGAGAGGGGTAGTTAGCTGTGCTGGTCTGACATGAGGCTCTACCTTTCCTGTCAGTTGAGAACAATTTGTAAGTGATTTGTTTCCTAAGTCTAACATACAATATATGTAGATGTACTCAAGGTAAAATGGATTAAACGTAGCATACTCGATGTAATCTGATCATCTTCCTGTACTTTCCCTCTGCCAAAAAAAAAAACAACCCCTTTAAAATCTTCTGTGAAGGCTTCAACAACTAGAAACCCCTGCCTCAGTATTTCCCAACCTTTTTCAGCCCAAGGCACATATATGTTAATAAAAATGTTCCATGGCACACCTGTTAAGGCATTCCCTATCCTCATACCTATTGTAGCTCATTGCCATGGTAAAATTCTGCAACACAGCAGTTCATTTCTGATGGCACAGTGGTTGGGAAACACTGCCCTACCTGAACAACTTGCTGACAGGTAGCTAGTCTTATGCCTACATTTGAGTTTACTTACTTACCTTGAACCAAACACACCTGGTTACTAATTTATTTGTGTAACCTGCTACTGTTGACTTCCTATTTTCACCTCTGCATAACATCACCAGTAAAATAGTCAAAAGTAGTCGACTGCAGAAATCGGGGGGGGGTAAATTTACACAATGTGGACATCTACATGAGATGCTAATAGCACAGTAGAGTAATTCTACTGCACATTAACGTGGCACAAAAAACTGCTAATGCATAAAATTAGTCTACTGTGCATTAGTGTCACTTAAAAAGTGTGCCTGCGCTAATGTATGGTAGCACCAATTATGGCGCTTTAAGTTAGTGCCTGTGATTACAGGCACTAAACTAAATGCCCTGTAATTATGACACCTTAATGAATGTGTAGACATGACCAGTATGTCTACTACTGTTAGTACCAGGGTTAGTACCAATACTTTGTATCTATGTTAACGGACACAGACTTAGAGAAGGAAAGCCTGAGCCTGACTGAGTTTTCTAAAGCAAATCCCAGATCCAGAAATTTAAAGTGCTTGTGCCTGGCATGGAAGATGCCTTTCTACCCTTCTGAACAAGGAATTGATGCTTCAGCTGCCTACTTGGTCCTTCTGCCAGCCAGATCCTTAGAAAGTCAACACAGCCCCCTGTGAAAGGAAGTTTTCAAATGTTTGTTCCTGAGGACACCCAAACCCAGCACTTCATTGTGCATACATGCAGGTTGGACTAGCTTTTTCCATGCCCTCACATGAAACTCCACACACTCTTCTTCAGTTCTTCAAATGTTACTGGCTTGGAGGACAGCTGCTCCCTAACTCTAACCCTGTCCCTCTCCTCTCCTCTCCTCCCTGCCCTTCACCACACTGGTCTACAAGCGTGGAGTCCAGCCAGCCACTGCACATCCTTCCTGGAAGCGAGAGCCAGCCTCCTGCATGGTGAGACTGGGCACAGCCCTGCTGCCCAGTGATGGGGGGGGCCTTCTTGTCTCTAAAGGTTTTCCAAGGAGGACCTGTGGCATCCACAACACAGCACTTTGTCCTCAGAGCACAGGGGCCCCTCTGCTCAAGGCCCAGGTCTGGTTGCAACAGGCTGCTGCTGCAAGCCAGAGACCCGGGAGGGAGCAGGGTGGGTGTCAGCCCTGGAAAGGGGGGTGTCTGCTGGATGGGTGCACGTGCTGCATGTGTGTGTTTGGGGGGGGAGGAGTCTGGTGGGTGTGTGTATGTGTGCAGGGGGAGTCTGGTATGTGTGTGTGTGCATGTGCTGGATGTGTGTGTGTGGGGGGAGAGTGCTGTGTATGTGTGCATGTGCTGGATGTGTGTGGTGGGGGAGAGTGGTGTGTAGGTGTATGTGGGGGGAGTCTGGTGTGTGCGCGCGTGTACTGGATGTGCGTGGGGGGGAGGTATCTGCTGGACGTGTGCGTACGCGTGGGACACTCGTATGTGTGTCGGTGCCTCGGCGGAGGCCGCTGCCCGTGGGGGTGGCGGTAGCGGAGGCA